TGACGACGAACAGCGACCCCTCCACGTCCTTCCAGCTCGGCATAAAACATGCAACACGAGTGTACAAATGAGGCCTAGCCAGCTAAATTTTTTACCCACAAAAACCATGTAAGCTTTATACTTATACTGTTATCCTAGAAAATAGAGAAATATACAAAGCACAGTACCACAATCTCAGGAATTATACAAAATTTGTTTAGAAATCAGTAATTAATTCGATACAGAGCCTGACCAATTACTGTTTCCCATTGGTATTGGCTGCCTAATCTAACCTATTCACTAATTATTTTTGTAATTACAGAGGAAGGAACTGACTTGTGGTTTTGCTCAGGTATATTCAGAATTATTAGTGAAACAGTACGTAAAGATTTGATGCCACTGGGCAATAGAATTTTGAAACCTTATATCAGCACATAGCACCTGACCACTATATATGATTGCTAAATTTCCAATCATTGCTAAATATGACAATTAAAGAGGATGTGGGACTGAGTTGCTTCTTCTTCTTGTACAGCAGGCAAAAGAATTGTTCAAACTGCTGCTATTGACACACATGGAACAATAGCAACCGGACAGACGAGATGCAAAAATGAGAACTCGAGAACGGTTGAACATTACTGAGATTAGAGCTGATCCAGAGCGAGGCAAAACCTGGATTGCTGATCTAGGTTCGGATCTATTATAAGATCCGAAGAGAAGGGGTGGCATACATGTTTGGCGCTCGTCTCTGGTGGCGGCAGCGTCCGTCGGCGGCCCGTCCTGGTTGACTCAGCGGCGTGGAGGCAGCCCGTCTAGCGCGTTGGGCGTCCGGCGGCGGTCCGTCCGGGTTGACGAGGCGTCGTGGAGGGCACGCGGTGTAGCTTGCCGTCCGGGGTTGTGGTTCCCAAGGAGCAGGCGGCGATGGCGGGGACCGAGACCTGGCGTGGTGTAGTAGCGGGATGCGGGCAGTTGCGGTTCAAGGGAGAATTTTTTTACGGAAGGGAGAAATTCATGGAAGCGAGGTTTGTTCCTTCCTTTTGAATTTTGTTGCAAGGGACGGGTTTAGAAGCGAAGTGTGCGGGATCGCACCAGGCAGGACGATGGACCCACGTTAAAATATCGTAAAAAAAATGTTTACGTTTTGTTTTTTTTAATTGTAGGAGATATATACATCCAATCTATTTCCTTCGATGTTGTGACCGAGTTTAGTTTTCAATCATCGGTCCATGAGTCTTACCTGTTGGCTGTTCGTGTATTGTTCTCAATGCGACAATGCAAGTAACAACATGTGTTCGTGGGCATGGACGACGACGTGAAGGAGGAGGAGCACAAGGGTGTGGAGGAGAAAAAGTTCAATGACGACCTGCGGCCTGTTCGCTTAGATCGTTTCTGTGGCTTATAAGCCGACTGATGCTGTTTTGTTGTGAGAGAAAAATTACTGTATCATGACTGATAAGCATGGTTGATGCGATCAAGCGAATAGGGTGCTAGAGTTTAAGGTGTACAACTAGGACATGCTGAAGAGGTGCTGTGCAACAAGTGGGAGGAGACAGTCGCATGACCAGTGCCCGTTTGCGCACGACATCGGCGAGCTCCACCCCGTTCGCTTTTGATTCGACTACAACTTCGGCCTGTTTGCTTGTTGATTTCAGCCAGAGCTTATCAGCCAGCCAACGGTGTTTTTCTCTCACAACAAACCAGCACCAATCAGGCTTATCAGCCCAGAAACCAACCAGCGAACAATCCACTTGTATAGGAGGTGGATGCCTAACGCGGAGCAGGACGACTGCAACTTGTCTTGGGCACATATGCGTGACACGGAAGCGGACCCGGCTATAGCTTATATCATACTCGTACGTGTACGCGTGACCTAGAAGTGGGACCCAGATGTATTTAGTATTACCGAGTGGGTGATGATGTTGATAGATAGAGATATTTTTGTGATTTTTTTATTAATTTTAGATATTTTTTTAATAAAACATTTCTTTTTTAAGAGGAATATAAAAACATTTCTAATCTGATTTATCTGTCTGGGCGAAAGAAAGCCCAAGCCCTAGTCCCATGACCATGAGGCCGAGAAAATGAGAATTTTGCCATCCTCATAAATGGGCTTCGCTACTTTGCCATCGTGCAAATAAGATTCGCTGTTTTGCCATTATGAAACACGGACATCACGCTAGAATGCCATTCAATACTGTTGTCCAGTTTATATTCCAAAATTACCCCTGCCTTCCTCTCGCTATGTTTGCACGCGAGCCCGCAGCCATGGTTCCTGTTCGGTGGCGCAGCAAGCTCCTTGCCAGCGCCGCCCGTATGCCATCGACACCCATGGCCCACACCTGAGCTCTTCGACGCCTGCCCCCACGTCGCCGGTGTCAAGACTCCCCCCGCTCCCACGCCACCTCTGCCCCACACTGTCGACCACGCTCGCCCCCATGGCAATAATACGAAGCACGTATCGTATAATTTTCTCAAGCAAAATAGAAATAGAATGCAGGATATATGTACCTCATGCATTAGACACTAGACAATCCCAGTGCATGAATGAAATAATTTACAATCACGAGCTGTAGCATGTAGGAACAAGATTTCTGAAGCCACTACTTCTGGGGGATCTTCACGTCCGGGTTGCGCATGAGCTTCAGCCACATGTTAGCCATCACCCCCTCAACGACATGCTCGACAACACTTCATGCGCCATCGTCGTGAGCCGCTGCTTCTCGCCATCCGACATGTTGCGCCGGCTTGCTATGCTTCCGAGCAAACTAAGGAGAAGGACCAAGAACCGGTTGGCTGTAGAGCTCGATGCCTCCATCCTCCATGGAGTGCCAGCTTGAAGACGGGCTCCTTCACGAGAAGGCTCAAGTCCACGGCATTCCGGCCCAAGTCGAGCTCCGGCGCCTCCACGACGACCGCAGATACGAGGAACAGCCGCGACCAGGAGCCCCGAGCCCACGTGGCCTGCTGGAGCTGCACGTGTTCGACCCAACGCCCCGCTCGAAAGCACGGCGCCCAGGCGCATCGGAGCGTCGGCGGCCCGACGACCTGCTCGGTGGCGCGGCGGCCAGGTGCTCAGAGCGGCGGTGACCCAGCGAACCTCCTTCAGATGTGACGCCGTTGATGGCCCTTGCCTCCAGACGCGCCGCCGACGCCGACACCCGCCTCCAGACACACCTCCGCTGGCCCCGGCGAACTAGTCCGTGACTGCAGTCTAGTCGGACAGTCTTTCTTCAATTGGAGCAGAGGAGTGCTCGACATGAAGGTCACCGGCAGCGGCGAAGTGGCGGGGAAGCACCCAGGGGCGGAGGCGGACTCGTGGGTGATCTCGGCTCCGTCGGAGGTGGGCCGAGGCTCCTGGCCACGCGCGCACGCACCCCGGTCGCATGCAAGCCAGTGGCGCTGTGCGGCAGAGGTGCTCCATGACGGGGTCAGTCAGAGAGACAACGTTCTGTGGTCACAAGGCGATGGGCTACTCGGCTTGGACAGAGAAGGAAAGGAGGAGGGAGCTTGCTACGCCACCGAACGGCAACCATGGTTGCGGCGAGCGTCCAGCAGCATAGCGAGAGGAAGGCAATGATAGCTTTGGAATAAAATCTGGACAGCAACGCTAAGAGCCTCTTTGGCTGGGCTCCTGCAGGGGCTTCAGCTCCGGCTCCTGCAGGAGCTGTGCCAAACACCTATTTTGGAAAAGGGCTCCGCATGGGGAGCCGGAGCCATTTTTTTGCCTGCGCAAGAGAAGCCTCAAAAACGAGTTTCGCGCGGCTCCTTACTGTGAGTTCACGTCGTCTAGTGCGAAGGAGCTTTTTTGCCAAACATTTGTTAGAACGCCTTCAGCTCTTCTAAAGAAACTGCTCCTTCGAGAAGCCAGAGCCCAAGGCCTGGCCCTAAGAGATATTTAGGGTATGTCCGTATTTTATGACGACAAAGCAGCTAAGGCCCCGTTTAGATACGAAAATTTTTGGCTTTTGGTAATTGTAGCATTTTCGTTTGTATTTGATAAAAATTGTTCAATTATGGACTATTTAGGCTTAAAAGATTTGTCTCGTCAATTACAGGATAAACTGTGCAATTAGTTATTCTTTTTATCTACATTTAATACTCTATACATATGCCGTAAGATTTAATGTGACGGGAAATCTTAAAAATTTTGGATTTTGGCTTGGATGTAAACGGGCCTAATCCTATTTACACGATGTTAAAGTAGCGATACCCACTTACGAGGAAGGCAAAATTCCCATTTTCTCCCATGAGGCCATGACCTCATCCGATCCCTTTCCCATCCGCGCGTCCCGACCCGACTCCTCCCCTTCCGGCCTCAACAACGCGAGGAGGCGACGCAATCCTGGGAGCTCGAAACCCTAGCTCCTAACTCGAGCCCCGGTGCCGTCGATTCCTCAGGGGCCGCCGCGATTCGGCTCCTGTAGCAGCTTAGGGCTCCACCGCTCCCCGGCTGCATCAGCATCGACGGCGGCGGCGGACGCCGCAACGACTGCGCTCGAGGAAGCACCTCGTCTCGGCGGGTTCTCGTTCTTGGAGGCCTTCCATAAGGCGGTCTCGTGGTGTCCCGAGCCCGGATCTACGGCGATCTGGGAGGGGGAAGGCGATGGATGAGGCGATTCAGTGGTAACCCCAAATCCGGTGGGTTTCCGGCTGGCAGAGGCGGAAAGGTTCAGGCCTTCGGCGGGTGATCAGATTTCTCCTTGCGGCTTGCGGCTTGTCTTCTTCCGCGACGGTGTAGGACTGGAGCGCAGGAGCCGACAAGGCGGTGGAGATAAAAAAAAACTGCTTGCTTGTACACTTGTTCATGTTCATTAGTTCCTGCTATTTGTCCTGGTTTAAAGCATCAATTTTCCGCTCAATTTAAGGGCGAAGACAGTTTTTTTGTTCTTTCCTTGTTGGTTTCTATGGAATAATCTCTATTACAGAAGAGGAGTGGAAAAGCAACAAAAAAAAAAAAAAAAAAATAAAATACAAAAAAGATAAAACCAGAAGAAAAAAGAGAATTTGAGTGGGCAAGCGAAATGGCTGTGTATTACAAGTTCAAGAGTGCTAGAGACTATGACTCGATTCCGATCGAGGGGCAATTCATCTCTGTTGCCAACTTGAAGGAGCGGATTTTTGAGTCCAAGCATCTTGGCAGGGGCACAGATTTTGACCTTATGATCTCAAATGCTCAGACCGATGAAGGTTGGTTCTTTCTCAGATTTTTTTTGTGGGTGAACATGTGTAAGTTGATTAGGTCCTGATAAAAATTGTGATGGACCAGGTTGTAGAATTGTATGATCTTTAATCAGGGACTATTTGGTTCATGCACTCGAGTTCTGTGTCAACTCAACCAAGCATGTTGAATGCTGAATACTGAATCTTGTTTAGGTAGCTGGTATCAATTGTTTTAATCTTGTGTTCCTCTTTTCCCTGCGTTCTGAACCTGCTAAGACAGCCCTATCCCTTACAGGGCTTACAGGGTTGATATGAAGGATTAGCTGTAATCTATGCTGGGAAATTTTTGATACATAGTCTTGCATTTTGTTTGGTGAACCTTAGGGATTGGATTTGATTTAATATGTCGAGAGCATGAACCAACTTTTGTCTTGATGCATATTAAGTTAGTTCCATTAGAGTCGTGCTTTGTTTGTTTCCAAGCAAGCATTCGTACCACATTGCATTGTAAGAGGGACACGTTCAAAATAATATTTACTTGTACCCCAAGCATTCAAATTGTCATGTGATGAATTAGTTTGTACTGTGTTTTCTTGTGTGGATTTGTGATGGATTCATGCTATCAAGGTCTTGCTTAATGTTTCATGGTGATATTTTCACTTTCAGAGTACGCTGATGAGGCCACTATGATACCAAAAAATACGTCAGTATTGATTCGGCGGATACCAGGACGACCAAGGAAGCCTATTGTCACAGAACCTGAAGAGTACTGTCTTGATCTTTGACTACTTGAACAATTAGCAATATATCTCTTAATTATTCTTAGTGAATCTTTAGGAGTTCACCACCTTCAGGCTGTGTGCAATGTGGTGCATTACATTTGATTATTTGGCTGGACCATGTCACTGAAAATGTTCAGGAGCTTTGCTGGTTGGTGAGCATATATTGAGATGTGTATCCAATTCTGCAGGTCAAAAGCTGCAGAAGATGGTGTAGAAGAAGTCATGCCCACTGCGAGTGCTTTTCTTGGTGATTCATCTATGAAATATGTAAGATTGACAACCTCTTGTTGGCTCTCTCTTTATCTTGCCAAGGTTGGCCATTGGAAGTGCATTAGAATTTTCATATATCTACTAGAAATTGTCTATATTTACTAGGAGCTGATATTCAATATATTAAAACTGCAGCCTGAAGAATCTGAGTGGGATGATGAGTTTGGCAACGAATTATATGTTTCTGATTCGGTTCCTTCTCAGCCTGCTTGCCAGGCGGTTGATGATTCTGAAAACAAAGTTGACGAGGATAGTAAAATAAAAGCACTTATTGATACATCCGCCCTTGACTATAGGTGAGTAACCTACTGGATTAGACACTGTATGTGAGAGGTTTTTACATGGCCAGGTCGAGATGACCCCACGTACCTGGGTCTGGGGCAATGTTCCCGGGTCGAGGGTTGATGCCTTTGACCCCGTTTTCTGTGACTAGTCTTGCTGGCAACTGATAGATCTGTTACTCTTACTATGCCAGTGTATGCTAATCAAATATTGGTTTTATAATCATAATCTAATTGGATGGTTGATGCTTTCAGCCAAATCCCTGATGGTTATGGTTCTGGAAGAGGCTATGGTAGAGGGATGGGTGGCAGAATGATGGCTGGCCGTGGCTTTGGTAATGCTCTGTGCCCTTTTTTTTGCAATTAAAGTGTTTAGCTTGAGGTATTATCAAAATATATCTTTGTGAGGAAAATGTTATATCCACCTTGGTAACATTGATATTCTTTCCGTTGTGTGAAAAGTTTTTTTGATATATAGTGATATACGAAATACTTGTACATATATAATAGATTGTATGCACTTTGGTATTCTTTGTGAATATTTTCCATTTGTTTCTAGAAGAAAAACTATGCTTCTTAATATCTCTTCCTTTGTTATTCTGAAGGACGGCTGGAACGCAGGACACCTCCTCCAGGTTATGTTTGTCACAGATGTAAAGTACCTGGTATGTTAGTGGCTTGTAAAATCTTAAGCATTGTATGTTTCACTGTTCTTTCGCTCAATGGATCTTGTTTTGCAGGTCATTTTATTCAACATTGCCCCACAAATGGTGATGCTAGATATGATGTGAAAAGGATGAAACCCCCAACTGGTATTCCAAAATCAATGCTAATGCAAACTCCGGATGGCTCATACGCACTACCAAGTGGGGCTGGTGCTGTTTTGAAGCCAAATGAGTGAGTACCCACATTTCTTGAGCAGCTTTTGTGATTGTATAATAACGAGTGCATGTGTACTTTGGGCAAATAATAAGCATCATATTTTTCTTTGTGTTAGAGCTGCTTTTGAGAAGGAGATAGAGGGCCTACCTACCACACGTTCTGTTGGTGATCTTCCACCAGAGCTACGCTGCCCATTGTGCAAAGAAGTAATGAAGGATGCTGTTCTAACTAGTAAATGCTGCTTTAGGAGTTTCTGTGATAAATGTAAGCTGTCTTTTAAGTTCCTGATTGTGTGTTTCAGACTGTTACGTATTTATACTGCCATCATATGATATGACTGGCCCTGTTGTTTTCTTATATATTTTATTATACTGCAGAGTGTTTCCTTTCCCTTTTCTCATTAAAATATGATGCTGTTCGGGGAGTTAAGTGCTATTTGTATTTTTCTGGCAGGCATCAGGGATTACATAATTAATAAGTCAATGTGTGTCTGTGGTGCCACAAGCATATTAGCCGATGATCTTCTCCCTAATAAAACTCTAAGAGAAACCATCAGCCGCATATTAGAGGCACCACCAACTAGCAGTACGGAAAATGTGGGAAGCATGGTGCAAGTACAGGGTACGTTTGTATATTTGCTTGTCATTGGATTTGCTTTGATCGCAATTGGAAAATGATGATGTATGTTTTGTAGACATGGAGTCAGCTCTACCTGTGCAACCTAAGCTTAGGTCTCCTGCTGTTTCTGCTGTTTCAAAGGAAGAGGCTAAAGCATCCACACCTGTAGAAGAGTCTCCAGGTGCTGAGAGCCTCAATGGAGCAAAAGCTACAAATATCGATGCGAGTTCTTCAGATAAGAAAGCCACAACAGTTCCGGATATTGCTGAAGGGACCATGGATTCTAAGAAAGCGAAAGAAGATAAACCAGTAGAAACAACTCCATTGGCAAAAGATTCTCAAGAAAAGTTGCCTGCAGGGGAACAAGGTGAAAAGCCTTTGTTCCTGTTTCTGTTTGTAGCTAGCTCTTGCCTGTATTGCAGCTTCCCTTAAAAAATAAGTGCTGAAGAATTTATACTTAAGTTCTTGTCACAAATAACATTTCGGACAATATATGGTCTCCAAAACATCACTTTTACTATTATGTTTTGTTGTATTGTATATTTTTGTGAAAGCATTTTCTGAGACAAACCTACTCTTTCAAGTGTCCAAATCCAATACATAAAAAAGTAATTTGTAACTATGTTTGAAATGATTTGACTGCATGACTCAAAATGTCACTTAGGAGTATTTGTGACTGCATGGATTATCTGATGTCTAAGAATGAAGAAGTGTTGTAATTTGTTTGATGTTATTATACATTTCATTTTATAAGGTGTGCACACATTCTAGGAGTCAAAGATCGTAATCTTCAACTTACAGTTAGCCTCATTTGATATGAATTTTATTGGATTCACATTTGAATACATTTTCTTGTGGTTAAGGTTTTGTTGCTACAAAGATAGTCAAAGTCTAGTTTTGGATACTCAGCTAAGTCAAACCATTTGATACAATAATCTAGACTAACTCACTGAGCTCACTGATTGCTAGCTTAAAGGATAGATAGTTTAGAAGGTAATTGAATTTAATGAGGTAACAAGAAGCATGGCTGCTTTATCTTGTGCCTTTCCTTTTTCATAATCAGTAGAACAGAGGGAGCATAACATCTTTCTCATTGGTCAAACTAGTCAAAAGATCTTGTCTAAGAATAGATTTTCAGAGAATGGCAATAACTCTTGGAATTAAATAAAGTGACTGGCACCAATTGTCTTTCTTTTTTTGGTCAAATTATTTCTGTTCTTTGAGATACTGATTTTCTTTTGGAAGCTTCAGCGGTGAAGAAGAAGAAAAAGAAGAAGCCACGTGTTCCCGGAAATGGTAAAGTCCTTATACCTTTTGTCATCAAGATCTTGTGCAAGTAATGGCTTAAATAAATGGAATTCTTATTCTGTTAACAGCTGAGGAGCAATGGAAAAATTTTCAAGATTTTGGAGCTGAAAATTTTTCGGGAATGCCCTTGGGTCCAACTGGAACATTCAACCCTTACTGGGGCGGAGGAGTGCCATTGCCAATGGATTACATGGGTGCACCGTTTCCCGGTCCCATGCCCTACATGGGTTATCCACCAGGTCCATTTGACCCTTTTGGTGGGGGTGTTCTCCCACAAGATCCATTTATGCCCCCAGGATACATGATGCCAGGAGTTCCTAGGTATATATTTTAGCACCAGTTGGTTTTTATGCAGAAGAAACATGACCAATTCTGTATGTACCGGTTATCTTCTTTGTACATCTGAAAGTTAAAAGGAATGTGTAAGTGTAAACTTTGTGGCTGTATTTCTCTGTTTTGGTGAGAGAAGCATTAGTTTGATGTTTGCCTCTTTTGGTTAACAGCCTAGTATCCATGAACGGTTGTATGGATTTTACTTCTTTGAGTAACAGGCGAACAACGCCTTACTATGGTTGTTTCTGAAATCTTGTATTATTCATTTCAGGGATCTTTCTGAATTGGCTGTTAACACTATGGGACTAAACATGGTCCCGCCAGTTGTGAGCAGAGAAGAATTTCATCCCAGGAAACCTGAACATAGGAGACGTGAAATGGATCGGTTCAATGAAAGGTGATTGGACACTTCAGATCCTCTCTATATTTGAACAAATTGAACAGCTGTTCCATGACATTTCTAGATCCCTGAAGTCATGTTCTTTTAAGTTGAATCAGCGGATGACACTAATTTGGATCATTCCATGACATTCTTAGATCCCCGAAGTCACGTTCTTTTAAGTTGAATCAGTGGATGACACTAATTTGGACCATCCACCATTTTTCAAATGCACAGGCCCATAATGACCATCCAAATGTAGTTTTTTTTTTAGTTGAGGATAAGAGAGAAGTTGGTCTAAATGTCTTGCTTGGAATTGGCAATGTTCCCCTTTACCTTGAGCGTTGATTTCTTTCGGTCTCACAGAGGCATGGGCCATTTTGAACTGCATCATCATATAAATTCTGAAGGATACATAAGAACCATGTATAGAGTAAACTGCATCCAATGTCCCTACTCCCTAAGCTTTGTACAAGTTGCCCTTAGATGGTATGGCATGCCCTGAGCTTGACCATGTTATTTGCATTAGTCATTCTTGTGGTTTCTGTCTCAAAAAATATAGCTCTGTAGTTTTTATTATTATTTGCATTTGCCATACGTTGGTGCTTTGTAAACTCTTCTTTATGAAGCCCAAGTCACTGCTTGGCAAAATAGCTAGTTTAGGTGTCAGTGATATACTCACGTCACCCCTGTTCGGCTTACCCCATGTTCGGCTTGTTCGGCTTCTTTTTTCAGCCGAAACAGTGTTTTTCTCTCACAACAATTCAGCCGGAACAGTGTTTTTCAGCTAAGTTTCAGACCAGCGAACGGGGCCGCCCCTAAACTTTCAAACACTTTATCCATGGATGTCACTTTTTAGATTCACTAAAAGCTCATCCACACTTAAATCTCTTGCCTCAGTGAACGACTGAATGACTGAAATTGTGAAACATACTGGCACAAGTTTTGGTCTTATTATAGTTAGTTTTGTTGCATAAGAATCTAAAATGGCAGAACCACACGAAGTTAGGGATTGAAGTGCTATTTTCAATGTGTGATAAAGTTTCATGCCATTGCTTGGTTTTCATTTCTTTATCAAACTTCTATAAAATGTAAATGTTGGTTGTAAATTGTAATGCTGCTAGTCCAGTGTCATGATCTATAAAGATGGTGCTTTATGCTCTATGCATAATCCCTTGAGTTATGAATTACCTTATAGTGGTATAATATCACGAATCTAATAATGAACTAAGTCTATGTTCAGTGAATTTAGTCATTCTTTTACTGCATTCTTCTCTCAAAGCTAATCTGTTGAGTTGTGTTCTTGCAGGGAAAGAGAGCGTGACCGTTCTCGAGAGCGGGAGCGGGAGCGGGAGCGGGAGCGGGAGCGTGGTCGTTCCCTTGAGAGGGAGAGGGAGAGGGAGAGGGAGCGGGAGCGTGGCCGATCCCTGGAGAGAGAACGAGAACGAGAGCGGGTGCGGGAGCAGGAGCGTTCCCGGGAGGGTGACCGTGAGCGGCAGCGAGCCAGGGACAGGGACTCCCGCAGAGAGGCCAGGGCATCACCAGGGGCCATTACTGATAGTACCTCGATGAGGCAGAAGGATGTATGTCTTTTCCTGTCAACCTGTTATCATGCCAAGTTTTGTACTGTTATCAGTTCCATGGTAGACATATGGATCATCGCCGCCACCTCTGCCACACTAGACAGGGCAGGAAGAAATCCAGATGGCGTCCTGCCTGATTCTGGTGATACAGAACAAGAGAGGCACTCTGTTGAATTCCTATGCCTTCTGTTCTCAGCGCCTCGGCTGTTTGATCCGATTACAGTAAGAGGTTTGCTTAGGTTACAAGCAGCAGTCACCAGCGGGAGCATTGCCCTTGTGATTGCTTTCCTGGGTTTACAGGATGCCATCGCTATGCTGGAAAGATCTTTAGTTTATTTATATGTATTTATTTTTATGTTTTCTTTGGGACTGGGTTTGTCATTTTTTTTTCTTGTGTTTTTCTTTCTTTTCCGTTCATGTCTTTTGCTTTCTGGAAGATGACGCTTTGCTTTATTCTTTCATTCCTAGCCTTTATTTGTTATATGCTTTTACATTTCTATAATTGCTTGCAGTGGATAGGACTAGAATTTTTTTAAGGTAAAAAGTAGCAGGGGAGCCCAAAAACCGATGTTAGGCCACGATAAAGAGAGCGATCTCAATTTTCACTAATTGTCATGCTAGGCTGCTGACGCGTGTGGTGGGCCGCAAGCTGACGTGGCAAAGCTTGAGCCTTGATGAGTTTTTGACCGTACGATTAGGGTTGGTTGGCTAGGATGAATTGTCGGTAGTGTTGTCACGTGCTTTATTTTATTTTGTTTTGTTTTCCAGAGATCGAGGTCCCAGCCGGACAGATCGGAGCGTGGCCCGCCGCCGCCGTCCAGCCCCGACCGGCAGTCGCGTCGCTCCTCCGGCTCCGGCAAGAAGCGCTCCTCCTCCGACCGCTACGACGACATCCAGCTCCCACCTCCCCCGCCGCCGGCGTCGCGGCACGAGGCCGAGCCCGCCGAGGCACCCGCGGCGTCGTCGAAGTCTAAGGCCAGCGTCTTCTCCCGCATCAGCTTCCCCGGAGACGGCGCCAACCCTTCCGACGCCAAGCGCAGCCGCAGGGCCTCCGACAAGCCCCCCGCGCACTCCTCTTCCTCCTCCAAGAAGAGCGCCGCGGCAGAGGGCGGCGGCGACGGCCGCGGCCATCGCCACCACCACCAGAACCACCGTGAGGCCGCCGCAGAGGCGGAGGAGGAGAAGCGTAGGCCCGCCGCGGGCGACTACTACGGCGGCGCGGACGAAGAGGAGAGCGAGGAAGAGGAGCAGCACTTCAAGCGACGGCCGTCCTCGTCCTCCCGGCGCGAGCGCGAGCAGGAGGCCCAGGAAGAGCAGCCGCGGCACTCGCGACGGTCCAGGGACCACAAGCGCCGGTGAGGCACAAGGCTGCCGCCACCTACCTTCTTCTGCGGCGTTGAGCGTCGCCGCGTCCGTCTGTGCTAAAAGCTTAGATGCTTGGAGTTGGGAGGTGGTCGCCGGAAGCGCGCCTCCCCAGAGCAGAGAGTCCGCCGGCTCCGCGCTCTGCTTCTCTTTCGCGTCCGAGTTGGACCCTGTACATTGCCTCCGCGAATATTCTGTTTTGCTTTTAATTGAATCGGATCGGATTGGATCAAATTTGAATTATAATAATTTTGATTTGATGTCATCTTGATTGCTGTTTAATTATTATGTTTCCGTTCTTGTTGAGGTGAGGAGGACTACTATGCCATTCGCGAATCCTTCGTGGCCCGCAATTTCCTTGTTTAGCTGGAACTGATTGAATCCTTAAAAAACGCTTACGGTTACGGACGCGGAGCGCGTGTCTGCAGGCACTTCAGTGTGTCCGTTTTGCTCGTACCAGTCACCGTCTGGAGCAGCTGAGCATGCGCCACCTCGCAGTGCCGACGCTACGTGGCTGCAGGCGCGGTCACCCACGTCTCTCGCCTCCTTCCAATCCGTCCTCTCACGTCCAGCTCTTCTATCGCTCGCGACTCGCCCCATACCACCGGCACCACCCCATGGAACGCTACACGCTTGTTGCTTTTGCAGCGCAAGTTTTGTTTGCAACATGTACGCATATGTACACCCTCGCACGAATAACAAGTTGTAAAACATGGATCGAGAGACGGACAAGCGACGGAAAACAATCAGTTTGGCAGCCCATTCCAGTGAACCTGCTTATGCATTTGACGAGCACACCACCGTGTAGGCGAGGTCGGGTCAGATCGAATGGAGACGGGCCAGCGAAAGGCACGTAGAGAGGGAAGCGGCCGTCACATGCCGCACGCGGGCGCATCCATCGGCCACGCCCGCTGGCAGTGGTCACCGCGCACCTACAGCCTACGGGGGCCACCGAGCCGGCGCCTGCCCGTCTCGTGGGACGGGGATGCAACACGGCCAGATGCGTCACGCGTGAGGTGAGGAGCTGAGTTGGTTGGCGGCTGCGGACCGGCAGCCGGCACGTATACGTGTGCCCTCGCTGCCTCCCATCCGTACCCCGTGCGCGCGGCGGTGCGTGCGGGACCAACTGTGAACAGGACAGCGCATAGGGAAAGGCAACAAAGTAGGAAAGGCTTTGTTGTAAAAAAAAAAGTAGGAAAGGCTTGTATTTACTAGTACAGTGTCCGTACTAACGTCACGGCTTTATTTTAGGGATGTACGTAACCAAACAACGATATTTTTTTATACACGTAATTGTATATGACCATGTATATAATCCCGTAAACATAACAAGGCATAATAAGTCATGTCTCACCTCAATCGTCTAACTTATGATTTGCTTAAGTAGGTCTTGGAGTTCTCCACAAGCTAACACTACAATGCCATCTAGAAAAAAAATCATAAAATTAAAATAAAACATAAAACTAAAAAAAAATTCATAAATCTAAAGCCATTGTCTCTTTTTAGCCTTAAGGCAGCCTCCGTATTCAGGACAGGTACAAGTGCCACCAAGGAATTCCGATAATTCATTGAGCATTTTTTTACAAGCAATGACGACAAACATTTGGTTTAGAGTCTGGAGATGCATCAAAATAACCCAACAAATTACTCCCTCCGCCACTAACCTCCACAATCGCATCAGTGCCATACTCCCTCTGCCACTAAAGCTTATCAATCCACATTTGCTTTGCTTCGTCGATATCAAATTTCTTGGCTTTCAGAAATCTACAGATCCGATTTAGCTGGATATATATAGCTCAGCATCATATGGTAGTCATCATGTCTTGCAGGCAACAGCTCATCCAAGAGTAGCGCTTGTCTAAATGCTTCAACAACTCGTAGCTCCTCTAGATCGCGCACATCCTTGGTCTCCTGTTAGATTTACCTCCCTAAATTATTCCAAGAGGTTGGCATATCACAAATGTTCTGAAACATTTAAATCAGCTAATGTAAAGTACAATGAAAACCATTTATTATACCATCATTTTAGTGAGCCAATTATTTACACATAAACATGTGAAATCGAAGGAGACTACAAATTCTTGATAGCCACCTAAGATACTAATCATTGCATAGGATTAAACTGCTACATATAAATGCAATCATACAATCTTCCGAAATGACATCGAATCGAAAAGCTAAATTTTTTTTATCATGCATATCAAAACAGGGGCAAATTTTAGAGAATGAGGAACTTTCAAATATAAGCGCATTTGAACATTTAAGGAAAGAAAGTGCACTGAGACTGTAACTATTAGATATCAATGAAATAAAATATATTAAAGGATTCAAAGTCCTGAATTATGGATTTCCTATGCTTGTGACCAAACTAACCGAGTTCAGGTCAAGGCAAAGATAGCCAAAGCACATTTCACATACCAACCAAGTGGCCTCACCCTCACCAAGGCTTGACGCCTTGGCAGCGTGCTCGTGCCACGCCATGTCGCTGGTGAACAACTAGTGCCCCAGTGCCGTCCCATGTTGCACAAGATTGGCCTGCCCTTTTCCAACCTTTCTTCTTCCTGAGAGAGTACAGTCTTCCACGAGACGATCTTTGTGAGATCTTGTAAGCATTGTATTCACTGCTGTCTTAGCCTTCTTCTGCATAGTGTTTTATTCTTATTGTTAGAACTAATAAGAACTTAACATATATAAAGTCCAGCAGCATCAGATGCTCACTATCAGTGGAATCGAGAAATGCAGACAACATGTAGTAATTTAGTAGGGCAGCTATGATAAAACCTGATGATCCAAAAATGCAACAACACATATAACAAACTAAAAAGATGGAGAACAATCTTCTTGTTCGGCTGATCCCAAACCCGGCTTGATCCGCTTTTTTTTTTTCCACCCGGAACAATATTTTTCTCTCACATATTCAGCCGTGAACAGTAACTTTCAGCCGCTACAGTGATTTTTTTGGGTCAGCCGAACACAGCCAATGTATGAAGCCCACACTCACATCGTAGTATTGTGGCTTTGCTTTCATCTTCTGGCCACAGTCTTTCTTCTTCCCTTCTTCTACCTGTAGAAATTAGTTGTTCCAATTTCAGTTGAACTTTCCCATATTATTCTGTTTATGAATCAAAGATCTTGGTTGCCCTTTACCTATATAAGGTTGCAGTTGATGCAATCACACATTAGCAAAGCAAGATCGTGACCATGATCATGTTTAAAAAATAATAACCACTAAAGTGTTCAACCTGAGTCGCTATCAAGATTTTTAGAACTGCTAGATTTTTTTAAGGAAGTTGAAAAGTCACTGCTACATATTCAGAGATTTAATTTTTGAACATTTACATAGTCCATGCATAGGAAATGCACTGCTTTTCTGTTGGTGCCTCGACTGCCCTGCACAGGTAAGCAGTAAGCTTACCAGCACACTCACTCACTATGGCTAGAGGTAGAAGAAGATATTGAGAACAGCTCACACACACAGCACAAGCCCAGCGCTGGCCGAAAGCTCTGCTTCTGGATGTGGCTAACTGAACTGAGTTTTTCCATTGTCTTTGGATGGAATATATACAACTCTAGTTGTACCTCTACCAGGTACATGGTTGTTGGTGAGTACACCAACTATCTACTCCTAAGGTACATTGTTGTTGGTGAGTACACCAACTACCTACTCCTAAGGTACAAGGCTTAGCTTAGCCATCTCTACACTACATGGCTGAAGTAAGCCATTTCAACCTACTGCCTCATTGCTGCTGCAACAGCAGTGAGTGGTCAGCCGAGCCGACCAGTTCCATCTCCTAAACCAGGAGAGGACAGCTGTGCCGACCAATCAAGAGAGAGATGGGAGCAGTAGATTATAGCTAACAATTCTTCCTCTAATTCTGCTACTAACCTGATGCCTTGATCTCATCCATGCCAATCATTTTCCTCAGCTCGATGAACTGTAGGCATCCGAGTGACTTGGTAAGGATGTCAGCGAGCTGTCTGCCTGTCTCGACAAACTTGATGATGATCTACCCTCCATCGATACAGTCCCGGAGGAAGTGGAACTTGATGTCGATGTGCTTGCTTTGGTCGTGGAGAACAGGGTTCTTGGTGAGGGCGATAGTGGGCTGGTTGTCCACCATCAGAGCTGGCGGGTGAGCTTCCTCGCCGGTCAGCTTGCCCAGCAGCTCGATGCAACCAAACAGCCTGGCACGCCGCCGTGGTCGCTGCAATGTACTCCGCCTCACACGTCGACAGCGCCACAATCTTTTGCTTCAGCGACTGCCAAGCAATGGGGGCCGCTCCAAAGAAGATGAGCACGCCGGAGGTGCTCTGTCGCCCATCAATGTCGTCCGCCATGTCCGCATCGCTGAAGATAGTGAGCTCCGGCTCACCTTCCTTTGCCTTGGGGGGTGCCTCACTGAAGACTGTGAGCCGCAACCCACCCTTGCCACCACTCTTTGGGAAGATGATCGCTTGATAGAGCATCCCCTTGACATAGCGCATCAACCTTTTCACTGCCGACCAGTGATCTCGCATGGGCCCTCCATAAAACGACTGACGTACCCAACCGCGAACGCAATGTTCAATCGGGTATGAGTGAGGTAGTGCAGCCCACCGACGATGCTCCGGTAGCGCGTCATGTCCACCTTCATAGCAGTGTTGTGCTTGCTCAGCTTCAGCCACTCCTCCATCAGAGTCACGCACGGCTTGCACTCCGCCATGTCGCCGTGCTCCAGCAGCTTCTCTACATAGTTGCGCTGACCCAGGGAGATGCTCTGCTTCCCCTACCTCACCTTGATGCCGAGGTAGTAGGAGAGCGCACCGAGATCGCTCATCTTGAACCAAGCCACCATCTCATGCTTGAAACCGTCAATGTCCTTTGCTCGCGCTCTGGTGATGATTAAGTCAATCATGTACACGCCGACGACGAGCTCCTCCTTCCCCCGTCGCCGCGTGTAGAGTGCGTGCTCTGTAGCGCAGCGAGTGAACCCAAGCTCGCCCAAGGTAGCATCGAG